GTGAAGCAGCGTGGGAAAGCTGTGGGGTCATTCTGAGTCAGTGCTACCCTGTAGGATTGGCGGGGGGTGGGGGTGGGGGGGTAGGGGTGGGGAACTGCTCAGCAGGGCTTTGGAGACTGTCGATCTTTGGGGATACAGACAGCCTCATTGTTCTCCCTCAGAGTGACTGGTTGGTGCAAACTGCCGACCTTTGGGTGAGCAGCGGGTGCTTTACCCAGTGCCCTCAGGGCCCCTGTGGTGTCTGTGGCCCCTGCCGGATATCTGCACCTCTGGCTATTTAGAGAGCAGGTTCTGTGTCCCCTCTCCCCCAGGAACAGAGCTGACCTTTAATTACAACCTCGACTGTCTGGGCAATGAGAAGACCGTCTGTCGGTGCGGTGCTCCCAACTGCAGCGGATTCCTGGGAGACCGGCCCAAGGTATAGCCGGAGGGTTTGTTACTCTAGGCCAGGTGTGGGACTCCCCCGGCAGGCAACAGTTTGGCTTTTGGTTTGGTCCTGTTGCTGACAGCCAGACCCTACTACTGCAGCAAGGGGACCAGCCGGGCTAGCAGTGACCCCAGGACCCTGCTGCAGATGAAACATCCTTGGGTGTGATGCCACCAATCGTGGCCACCACGGGAGACTGAGACTCGCACACCTCGCCCATGCATTTGTCTTGTCTCTGCGGGGTGAAGGGTGGGCCTTTTTCCGCAGTCCATGAGTCATGGCATCAGTCTGTCACACCTAAGACTCGGGTGGGGGAGATGGGAGGGGCAGTGCCCACTGAGCTGGCCCCCGTGTGTGGGCGGGGGCATGCCGGGGACAGACAGCATCAGGCTGTACGAGGGTCTGCACTGACCAGGGGACGGAGACTAGAGAGTGGGGCTGGTTGTCCACCACCCACCATGTGTCAGAAGAGGGGGACCTCACCCTGTGCCCAGTGCAGCGAACAGCGTCACTAGGGCCCACCGTGGTGAGGAGTGAGGGCTGGGCAGCTGGCTGACTCTCTGACCTGGTCCCAGTAGTGGGCAGCCCGGTCAAAGATATTTGGAAATTGCCTCATCCTATGCCCGGAGTCCGCCTCTTGGACATGGGCCCCTGCCCTCGGCACTTTTTTTGAGTGCCTGATGCATCCACCAAGTGAGACACCCCATGGTTGCCCTTGGTGCTGAGCTGGCCCCTCTGCCTTGGACTCTGGGATGTGTCCAGAGCCTGTAGCGTTCACACCTCCCTCTCAGCCTCACTCTAAGACCATGACCCCTGCAGCCAGCACTGTCCTTGTCTTTGGCTTCCAGACCTCGGCATCCCTCTCTTCAGAGGACAAAGGCAAAAAGATCAAGAAGAAAACCAGAAGGCGGAGGACCAGGGGCGAAGGCAAGAAGGTGTCCGAGGATGAGTGCTTCCGCTGTGGCGACGGGGGCCAGCTGGTCCTGTGTGACCGCAAGTACTGCACCAAGGCCTACCACCTCTCGTGCCTCGGGCTTGGCAAGCGGCCCTTCGGTGAGTGGCGGCTGTGTGTCACTGTGGTGACGCTGGAAGCCTGTCAGAGCGTGTGTCCCTGTCCCCTGTGACGGCCCTGTGGTAAGCCACCTTGTCGTGGCAGCTTACAAACTCCATGTCCCTGTGGGCTGTGACAGCCTGCGATTTGCCACGTTCCAGCAGCCGAGTGTCCTTCCTCTATGCTGGCTTTCGCTGACGGCAAACCTGCCAGAGCACCCCAGCCACCAAGCCGTTGCCACCTGTGTCTCTGACAGGGACTGAAGCCCCAGAGGGCAGGCTCAGACTTTGGGGGCGGGCTTTTCTGCAGCCTAGGCCCTTTGACTTGTGGGCCGCTCATCAGGAGGGGCAGGAAGGGGGAGCAGCACCGGGTTCAGACCACCGGTCCGGAGATCACGGACATCATGGGTACTGCAGAAGAAGAGGCAGAGGCCCACTTAGGGACCAGAAGCCAGAGCTTAGAAGGAGTTCAGACATGTTGGACTACCCAGATCTCGCATGGCTGTGGAGCCCCCGTGGCCTCAGCAGTGTCTGTGTGTTTCAGAGACTGTAACCGTTAACGGGAGTCGAAAGCCCAGGGACCAGGTTTGGAACTGCCCACTGGGTGGATCACAGCGCAGTGCCTGTTAGGCCACTTTGACTTAGAGTAGTAGTGTTTGCAGGGGTCATGGTGAAGCTTGGGCCCTACGTACATAGAGACTGGGCCATTCATGCCCAAGACACCTGTGGGGGTTAGAATCAGTTTCCATGGTAGCAGAGGGCAGTCTCCAGGCGGCCAGGGCGGAGGGTTGCTGGTGGGGCGAGGCCTTCTCTTGGGTGTGAACCGCATGCGTTGGGTGGAGTAGCCCGTGCACACGGGTTCCACCATGCCTGATGTCTGCTGACGCTGTCTCCTTTGTTGCAGGAAAGTGGGAATGCCCCTGGCACCATTGTGATGTGTGTGGCAAACCTTCGACTTCGTTTTGCCACTTTTGCCCCAATTCTTTTTGCAAGGACCACCTAGAGGGGACGGCCTTCAGCTCCACGCAGGACGGGCGGCTCTACTGTGCCGAGCACGATGGGGGGGGCGAGGCGCCCAGGGGCGCCAAGACTGAGAAGCCCTGCCCAGAACCCAGGAAGGGGAAAGGGAAGAGGCGGCGGCGGCGCTGCTGGTGGCAGGTCCCTGAGGGCAAATAGCGCTTGGCGGTGTGGGCACTCAGCCTCACTGCCCGCCCCCAGGACAGACGCCCAGGCCCGGGAGGGAGGGCCTTCCCCACCACTGAGCCACCTCAGCAGCGTCTGCTGCATCTGCACTGATCACCAGCTCAGAATGTTCCAGACAAACCAGCCTCCAGCCTCGCTCCACAGTCTCACTTGAACCTCAACACGTCAGGGCTCCCTCCCGCTTTATTCTCTAGGAAAAGTTATGATTGGAAGTGAAGTGGCCTGTGAATGGTTTGATCACGCCTGCCCTGGAGGGTTTTTTTCCTCTGAGGATTGCTGTTCCAGCTCCTCGATGGGTAGAATGCCTCGCGGCTTCTTCCTGCCGGAGTTGCCCTTCCTCGGGAGACAGGGTGAGGCCTTGCCCCAGGATGGCCTCTGACCTCGACCCGGAGTCTTGCAAGACCATGGCTTTGGTCATTATTGTGCGCTTCTGGAACGGGCTATGTGATTGTCATACTAATGTGAAGTTCTCGTTCTCCTGCTGCTTCTCCATCCTAGGGAGCAGCTGGCCCGGGCCGGGGTTGGTGAGCAGCACAGCGTAGCCCGACGAGTCTCCTCTCCCTTCTCCACGACGGGAACTAGATATGCCAGCAGGTGCCTCTGGGGCCGGGTTTCGGAGCGCACGCTCAGTCCTTCTCAACATTTTGGGATGACAGTTTGTGTATTTTCTCCTTTGGCTTTTCTCGACCATTTTCTGACTTTTATTCTCAGTCTGTTTTTGCTACACTCAGTTCACAGACCCCATTGACTAAGCCAGGTATTTCTGATGGGCCTTGCGCCACCAGCTGGCAGTCCTGCATGTTGGTATCCCATGTTGGCACCAGTGAAAAACACCTGTGCAGGAGGACTGTGTTCTGCCCTGTGAGCACCTTAGGAGACAGGCCGGGCTGGGCTGGCCCACCCATGGAAACCCTCTCCTCAGGGACTGGTGAGGGCTGCTGACATCCACAGGGCCCGTCTCACTGGCCCGGCAGCAAACTTGAATTCGCTCACCAGGGCGCCACTGCCCGTGTGCCATGTCTACTCTCCCGAGTCCCACCTGTGCAGAGCAGGGAGTGCCTGCGGAGGAGTGCACCCTTCTCTCCTGGGGGTTCTCCTGACCCTGGGATGCTTGCAGCATCCTGAGGGAGAGGGCCCCGGGTTGTGCCTTTGCTTCTCCTGGCACAGGTGGGCACACCACACTCAGAGGCAGGTGCTTTTGCCCCCACACGCTCAACTGACACAGGAGCTTCAGAAGACCTGCTTTAGCGACAGTTTACGCACGCTCCTTAGTAATCACCCTGTCTTCTCCTGAGGGCTCAGCGTCCTGCTCAGAACTGTTTCGTGTCTCGTGAAATTGTAGTGAATACTTGGGTTTAAGACGCTTGATTTCTGTGATTTTGTGACCTCTGCTCTGGGAGCTACTTTCCTCCTGGGCCACCTTGTGGCCTCGTGGGTGACTCTGCCTTCAGTGTGCAGGTCCGTGGCCACGCTGAATTGGGGAGGAGGCTGGCGGCACTGGCGCCTACTTGTGTCCCTGTGCACAGACTGAGTGGTACTGCTGCCCCGTGGTCAAACCACCACACGGGACCGAGAGGAACCAACACGGTCTACTTCTGACCATGTGGGCAGATCCCTCTGGGACAGCCTTCCATAGTCAAACAGCTCCCGTGGCCTGTGCTTGCCTCAGAACCCTCACCTTTCCTGGAAGGTCTGAGAAGGTTGCATGTCCTTGGGCGGGTGCTCAGACAGTAGTTGAAAGGGTGTTGGCGGGTGTAAACCCAGCAGCAGCCTCCACTTCACAGAGACCTTTCCCAGCCCGGGTGGGAGAGGAACCGGCGAACCAGGCAGTCCTGCTCTCACTGGCCCAGAAGCCCCTTCCCCCAGCAGCTGGTGGACTTGCCCGAGTGCCCTGACCCAAACTGGTTTGCAGTGCACTTTGGGAGACGGGTCACGGTTCATACGAGATGGTAGTAAAACCTGGCCAGGTTTAACTCTCCTATGTGGTAGATTTCCAAATTATTTCTTAGATATTTCCAAGAGAGAGACTACAAGATTTTTAATATGGTTCCTGTTTCTAAAACCTGCTAATGAGAAAATAACACTAACTGGCCATCTCGAGACGATGGGCAGAGCTGCGGGGCACGGGCCTGTCGGCGGCGCAGGGTGCTTTTGTTCCAGGGACTCACTCGGTGACCAGCTTCGAGCCTCTCGTTCGTTACTGTGAAGCAGCAAAACCAAACCCAAACCTGCCCCGCCCTCACAACGGCCCCAGGAACCCACCTCTCGGGCACACTGCTGCCCACTGCCGGCACTGGGCCTTCAACACCGCCGTGGTGCCTCTCAAGACTGTTGGGCCAGAGATGTGGCAGCTTCTGCTACACCGCACGTGCCAACTGGTGGGGAACCACTGCCCCGTAGACCCCCACCCATGGGGTTGCAGGCCTGAGCTGGGCCCGTCCCGGTGACCACGCCCCGTGGCATGTGGCCTGAATCCTGACAAGTCCAGTTTCCACGTCTGGACCAGGATGCACATGCCACCCCTCTTCAGAACGGCCTGTTGTACGCTAGTGAGCACAATGCCTGGACAACCCCCCAACTCTGGCGAGGAGCCTCACAGACACCCAAATGGACTCACGAGTGTCTGCTCAGGGCGGCATGGGCCTCGCCCTGCTGAGCTGTGAACCACCCGTCAGATCTAAACTGAAGTGTGTCCTGGCATTTATCCATCCTTCGTTCGCAGTGGAAGGCCAGGTGGGTGCCCTGCCCGTCATCAGCCTTGATAGTTAGATTTTAAAACTTGAAGTTCACTTTGGGGGGGCAATATATTGAAATGTAGATTTGAGAATTGCCAGTTGGGGGGGAAATAGCATTTAAAGTGAAAGTTGTGTTGGAAAATGGTGTATGAGTATTTTTGTATTAAAAAAAGTTTTAAAGGCTTTTTTCTTTAACTTAATTTGTAGGCGAGGTGGTGTGTTGATTGATGCTTGAGACTTTGTTTCTACTCTGGAGGTTGGGGCGACGATGGGTTAGGGGGAACCTGCCTTACTTAGATATACATTTTCATAAAAAAGTTGTTCATCTGGTTCCTAAGTTACTGAAGGCCAAGAGGACCCCTATTTCCAGCCCTGCAGTTGGACACTCGCTTGTCTTCTCCACTGAGGGCAGCTGCCTGCACAGTGTCCGCCGGCACAGGATGGTGACCAGAGCATGTGGGGGGACAAAGTGGGCATTCTCAGAAAGAGCTCAACTTTATTCTAGTTGTTTTACAAGGAAAATAGTCTGAAGACCCTGTCTGAAATGGTCACAACTTTACAAAAAATACAAAACTCATAGTGGGGCCCCACTCTGGCCCCCAGATCCCACCTTTGGTCCCTTCAACCTGCGGGGGGGGCGGGCGCGCATCAAGCTGGCAAGTCATCGGTCCCGGTCAGTGGAATTCTTGCCCAAATAAGAAAAGTACAAGGCAAGCAAACCACTGCTCCTAAATGGAGGTCTCCCAGCCTGTGGTTCATATGCAAAAACATAATCGTGAATTCAAAGTTGTCTTGAATGCCACACAAAGGAACCCACATTTAAAAACGTGTAAATCAGCCCAGAACACTCCCAGAGGAAGGGCCCTAAGAGACGAACACGTTGGGTGGCCAGGTGTCTTATCAGTCCGTGCTCAGCCAAGTGAGGGAAGCCGCAGCTCCTTGGAGACGCGTCGAGGCTGGCTAGGAGGCGTTGGTCACGGGCTTGTACTTCTTGAAGCGTGTCCACTGGCCCGTGGCGTAGTTCATCTCGAACACAGTGTCCACCAGCATGGTGGTGCTGCCCTGGCCGTCTGCCTTGGGCAGGTCCTCGGTGTGCTCGCTCAGCTTGATCTGGATCACGTCCCCCTGCTCCTGGCACGGGTTCTCTGTGGGGGAGGGACTGGTGGGCTGGCCACCCTCAGACCTCACCCACAGCTGGCCCCAGGGCCCAGTCCAGCCCCCAAGGACCTACCTCGGTACCCTGCCATGAAGCCCAGGATCAGGGCCTTCTCGGGCCGGGTCACTTTGTTGGCCGTCTTGAACATCTCCTGAGCCGCGAACATGTGCTCCGTCTGTGGGCAGGGCATAGGCCACATGAGGATCCCAGGGAACCTCCCTCCCACCACCACCTGAGTGGGGTGGGGTGGGGGTAGAGAGGCAGGTGGCCCAGGCCTGGCCACACCAAAGGCCACCTACCATGAGGAGCAGTTTCTTCTTGGGCTGGGTCTGCGGGGCTACCATGGCCACTGGAGGCGTCTGGGCTGCAGGGGTACCAGCTGGGGCTGTGGTGGACGTCAGGGGCACAGTGGGGGTGGCAGGCGTCGGGGTGGGCATGGCTGTGGCCGGGCTTAGGCTGCTGCTGTACATGGATGCCCTCTGCTTGAACTGGGCTGGGAGTATGGGGCTTGGGGTGCTGGACTCCTCGGGGGGCCGGTTGGCCTGTAAGCTGGCTTCTCGGGAAGACGCTGCTGTGTGAAGTGGCCATTGTGAGGTCTGGCACACTGTGCCCAGCCCCCGTTCCAGACAGGTTGGCGGATCAACTCAGGAAAGGCAGGGTGGAGCCGGATGCCCAGGGCTACGTGCCTTCCCTCAGCCCAGCAGCCCCCCAGAGCCTGTTCTCCCCCTCCCACACCTCTCCCCTGCTGTCTGGGCAAAAGGTGCTGGGGTCTCGGGCTCAGACTAGCTTCCTGCCCCCACCTCGTAGAGACCCCCTCCTGAGCAGGGTGTCTCCTGTGCTGTTCCAGGCCCTGGGCCCACCAGGCAAACTGTTCAGGGCAGGACTGACAGGTGGCGCCTGACCCAGTAGAGGAAGACGGGGCCCTGGGCACCACACCCACTCACAAAGGGGTTGTACTCTGCTCACTGCTGGCACCACCAAGGTGGGCAGCACCCTTGCTGAGGGGAGTCTCTTGAGCATGCGTGTACGACGGCGGAGCATGGCTAGGCAGGCGGGGACAGCGGCCCTCGTGGCTCACCTGGCGGGGCCTCGGAGCTGGGGGCGTAGGAGGAGGTTGGGACCACGCTGGGTGTGGCGGGCAGGTAGCTGGTGGATGGTAGTGCTGGCTCGTTCAGGGACCCGAGTTTCTGGAAGACAGTTCTGGTGGGTCTGGGAAGGGTGCAGCTTCTGCTTGGCTCCCTCCCCGAACAGGTGCAGCAAGGCCTGTCCCCCACCAGGTCCCTGGCTGGACCAACAGAAGTGGGGTGGTGGGGAGGGATGGCCTAAGAGCCTCCCTAACCCCCTGACTCACAGGGACAAATCAGGTTCCATGACACTCTCTGACCATAGAGGCACCCAAGAAGCAGGTGTGTCTGCAGTGAGAGGCACCAGAGTCCCCGGCTTTGTGGGAGGACAGCCCGCCCCTGCACCCGCCTGCAATTCACGAGCCAAGAACCACTGTGCCCCACTAGGTACTGTTGGGCTCTGGTGCCCCAGGATTCACTCTCTCTCATGCCCCGAGGGCCAGCACAGGTGGCTCTGGACACATCAAGCCCATCTGACAAGCCTCATGTCCCTCAAATGCATACCCCTGCACACAGGCGCACAGACAAACCAACGTAAGCTCGCACAGGAAATGTTTGGGCGGCCAGCCCTGGGGGGTGGGGGGGTGGGGGGGAGCTGAACTAGCAGAGGGACTCTGGGCTGGGGGCAGAAGCCTACCTGTGTGGACAGCAGGCCGGCCGCGTACTCCGGGGTGGCGTTCTCCACGAGGGCTTCTTCCTTGGATTGCTTTTCCACCACTTCTGTGTCTGAGACAGAGTGGGTCCTCAGCACCGTGGCGCCCCCACCCCCAATGCCGTCATGCCCAGCCAGCACAGGGTGAAGACCAGACCTCCAGCACGAGGCCACCCGGACAACCACAGGTCCCCAATGGCGAGGAGTCGGGCAGGACCAGCAGAGGGGGTCTGCAGGCCCACATCGCATGGCAGCCCCAAGCTGCACCAGCTCTGGGCCTTGAGGACCTGGCTCTGTTCTTGGAATGTGCCTACCCCTCGGAGTCCCCCAGCAGTCTCCCTGCTACCACATACCCAAAGTCTTTCTTCTCTTTTTGGTCTCCCGGCCGGCACCAACCGCGTCCAGCTCAGAAATGTCTAGTAGCTTCAGGAAGACAAAGTACACTTGACACCCTGTCCCCCACCCCCAGCACCCACAGGGTGAGGTGGGGCAGGGCAGAGCGGGACAGGCGCACCTTCACGCCCCTTTCCTTGCGCAGTGGAGTCCTGGATGGTGGGATGGGGGTCCGGTTCCCAGCAGGGCTGAAGACGCTTGGGGTGGCGGGGCTGCGGAATGCGGCCTGCTTCGGGATGCCTTTGAGCGGGGCTGCGGGACAAGCTTGCCAGTGGTCTGGGGGTCGAAGGGGCGTCCCATCCCAGGGTGCAGCTCTCTACCCAACCCATGCCATCCAGTCCCCCTCCCTAGCCCGAGTTGCTGGGGTGGTGGCAGGGACAGCACCTGTCACCAGGAAGCTTTCCACGCCTGGCCTGGCTCCCCATGTCCCTGCCGGCCTTGCCTGGGGCTGTCCCACAGAGCAAGGGTCAAAGCACATGCTCTCCCACACAGGAGGGGCTCAGCCTGTACTTCACAGAGCCCTGTAGCGGCCCCCACAGCCCACCCACCAGGCCCCTCACCCTGTTCCAAGGGTGCAGAGCCCAGAGCCGGCTGCAGTCGGGGCCAGTGACTTGACACAAGGCTAGAGCTCCCCCCATGGGGCCAGCCACTCCTCCGCCCACTTACTTGTGGTGTCCATCTTGCGGAGCAGGCCCCGCCCCTTGGCGTGGAAGGGCACCCCTGCACTCCGCTTCAGCTGCTGGGCAGTCTCGGTGGCTGCAAGGACAAAGGCCATGGGTTTCCACCTGCCGGCCAAACAGGGACCTCGCTGCCTGGGAGGTGTACAAGAAGCCAGACTGTAAAGTCTGAGGGTGACAGACCCGAGGGGCAGAAACCCTATGGAGCAGAGCCACTGTGAGTCCAAGGCCGGCACCCCAGGACCCATAAGGTCCCCTGGCCTGTGGCTGGCGGAGCCTGAGGTCCCTCATGCACAGCAGGGCAGGGCGAGCGAGCATCCCAGCCTGACCTGGCTCAGCAAGAGCTAAATCCCTGTGTGTGTCAGTGACCGGGAGGGAGCCCCTTGGGGCAGGGGACAGGGCCTGATGAAGAAGGGCCTCAGACACCCTGTGCCCACTCTGACCCCAAAATACAGCAGTAGCTGATTCTTCTGTGTTCCACTCAAAATACAAAAGAAAAATACAACTCGAAGGGCCAGTGCCCGGCTGCATTGCCCTCTGGGGGAATACTGAAGGAAAGACCCACTCGTCCTACTGGTCAAGACAGTGGGCACTGGCTGGTCGGGAGGTGCCCGCAGTACCCTGGGCTTCGGTAGCCACGGGGCTGCCCTGGCTCTCGTGGGGACGGTGTGGGACAGAAAGGCTCAGCTGCCACAGGCCTCATTTCTGTGATGAGACCCCTCTTCCCTGGACATTCTCAATTCCTGCAGCCGCTTTTCAGAGTAGCCTGCTTCCTGTCTGAGAAAACGTCCACACTGTCTCTGTGGGAGCGGGCGGGTCTGGCAGGGAGAAGGCGGCCGCAGACTCACACTTCTGCAGGAGCTCTGCGCGCAGCGTGGCACTCTTGGGCTTCCTTTTCAGCTGGAAGTGCTTCACGGGGGGCGTTAGGGGCCCGGCCAGGGTGGTCAGGGCGTTTTTGTTCAGGTACTGGCACTCCAGGGGCAGCATGGCTGATGCCTCACACTCGCCCACTGCACATCGGGAAGCAACGGGAGGTCAGGCCACGGCGGCGGCGGATCACTTACCCCCCACGCCCACCCCCACCGGCCCTGTCAGCCACAGTCTCCTCCGTGAGGACAGTGAGGGGGCTCAGCAGGGCCCTCGGAGCTAGAGGGCTGGGAGGGCTGGGGGTAAGAGTTCTAAGCCCGAAGCCCCGCTGTGTCTGAGAGCCACCTGTGTCTGTGGTACTGCGCACGGGAAGGCGTGCTGGGGGAGGGACGGGGGACAGTCTTAGTTCTCATGACACTGGCAGCCACCTTAAGACCCCTGTTCCACCTGGATGGGCATCTGCCCCCATGCAGAGCCAGTGCCCAGGACACCCGCCCCGGAAGGGGAGCAGCCTGTGGGCAGTGCCAGCAAGCAGCCGCAGTGGTCTTTCGGGACTGGGAACGGTGCGGAGGCTGGAGTCATGTGGCGGGGCGACTCTGGAGGCTTCGCTGGCCTGGGGCCTCATCTGAAGGCAGTGTGGCCCCCCCACTGGGCCCCTACGACCCATGTGGGTGCCCCCATCCTTGTCTCCCAGCAGCTCACTGGGCGGGAGAAGCCTCTAGAGCAGTGGTTCTCAACCTGTGGGTTGCAACCCCTTTGGGGGTCGAAGGACCCTTTCACAGGGGTCGCCCAATTCATTACAGTAGCAAAATGACAGTTATGAAATAGTAGCAACGAAAATAACTGTATGGTTGGGGGAGTCACACCATGAGGGACTGCACGAAAGGGTCTGGGCATCAGGAAGGTTGAGAGCCAGTGCCCTAGTGAGCAGCGGTCCCGCCTGCCTGAGAGTGAGAACAGACGCCCGACCAGGAGCCGGGAGGGAGGGAGGGAGGGAGTGTGTGCGTGTGCGTGCGTGCGCGCACGGCGCATGCTTATAGCTGCTTTAGGACTCACATCACACTGTACTCACCAGCGGGAGCCTCTACAAGTTCACACCTTTCAGAAAATAAAAGACACACACCCCCTTGCCCTCCTCACTACAGTCAACATACCCTTTTCTCGAAGCTCTCCCAAAATACCCTGGACGTTGGGGTTCTGCTCCTCCAGGTCGAGGTTCAGGGAGCCAGTGTCGGGAAATGACTTCAGAATGTCCGCCACCATGAGGACCCAGGGGTCCGAGTCCAGGGCGGCCAGCTGGGTGATCTCTGCCAGGGCACCCTTCATCTGCATAGAGAAGGCGGCCTTCTCAGGAAGTGGAGGGTGAGGGGGGCTGTACCCCTGGGGGCAGTTCTCAGTGAGGGCAAGAAGGGGGGCTCCACTCTGGGGGGCTGGCACGCTTCCTGGAGCCCACCTGTTCCCAAAGGACCACGTGCCACCTATGGCTCTCCCTGCATGGAGCTGGATTCTCCCTCAGCCATGTGCGGCCAGAGGTCAGCAGTGACCTTCTCGCTGTGTGCCGCTGCAGGAGACCAGGAGTGGCCCGGAAACCTTTTGGAATGGAGTGGGGAGGGCCCTGGAGGTGGAAAAGAGGGACCTGCCTAACCAAGAAGAGCTGAGATGAGAGTATGTCCTTTGGACCCAGGGTCCCTGTACTGGGACCCTGCCAGGCCCAGGTGCAGGTGAGCTCGCGTGAGGGAGCGCACCATCACATCAGAGACGGCAGGAGCGGGAGAGCTGCGCCTGCGCCTTCCCAGAGGCTTGCTGAGGAAGGAGGGTGCCTGGGGCACTCACTGGGGGGACGCTGTCCCGAGTCCTTCCCAAGCTACAGCGGGTCACAAACCCATTGTGTATTCCAAGGGCAAATCTCGTCACTCGGTTGTTGAGGTGTGGCATGTGGTGGCCTGCCGTTGCTGGGAGGCTGGAGGACATGCCACCAGTATTCCCAATACTCAGAGTCACCAGAGCGGACTACGGCAGAGTGACTGTGGGGAGACCCGGTGAGCTACTTCTGAAAAGAGCTGGCCAGTGACAATCTTTCGGCTACCTGTGGAAGGCCGGCTGAGTCAGGGCCAGAGAACCAGCCCCTCGGGGTGAAGGGACCCAAGTTTTCAGACGCTTCATTTGCAGATGGGGCAGGATGCACCATGGGAAGAAACAGGCACAAGCACCCTTCAATCTTCGGGAGGTGGCATGGACCGAGTACGGACCGGAGCCAGCTGGAAGTTGTGGAAAGGATGCGGGATGCCTGAAAATCGCCATCACGGGCCGGAGTGAGCTGGCCTGGCTGGGCACCGCCAGGGGACAGGCTGAAGAGGGACCGTGTCACACTCCTCCCCAGAAACAACATCCCAACATCACTAGGGAGACCAGTTACTACGACCACTAGTCACAGCTACCCACCAACCACCGGCAGTCACATGAAGACATGGAAGGGGACCCCGCTTGCCCCAGGCAGGCCCTGGTGAGAGCAGGAAGCCAGGGGATGGATGGAAAGGTGGCCCAGGACCCCGAGTCACTGTGGACCAGAGTCTCCAGAAGGGTGGCTGCCCTCAGCAAGGGTGTCTTTAGCTCAGAGGTCATTCCCGTCTGAGGGAGCTGAAAGCGAGCCAGCGCGTTAGAAGCCAAAACCCAAGGTTCCAGAGCTGCCACTGACAACAGCCAGAGATGATGGAGGAGATGCCGTGTGCAGCCGTGAACCGGCCGGCCGTGTTTCAAACCCACGCAGAGGCCCTCAGGAAGAAAGGCTCCCAGGGCTGAGCCCCTGGGTGGGGCTCTCTGAGAAGGCACAGCATGACTTGGGGAGTTCCCTTGGAGGGACATCGAGTCAGCTTTACTGGGCCTCCCAGCAGACTGCAGTGGAGGCTCCCAACGCCACAGGCACTGGGGCAGAAGACCAGGGGCGTGCACTTGGTAGGTGGGCAGCGGCAAACCCCATGGCCTTTGAGGCGTGTCCCTAACAGGAAGGGTTCCGGAAATGCCACCTTCATGGGAGCAGACAGATGGTCTCAGCTTTCTCCTGAGGAGCAGCCGGTGGGTTTGAACCACTGCCGTCTGAACTCACTGCCCTGGCAGCACAGACCTGCCCCCTGGGGCTCCTGAGAGGAGCTGGTGACCGGGCATGCCACCTGTGGTCAGCAGCCCAACCCTCACCCAATGCTCCCCAGGGCTCCTTTCATGAGCGCAGGGGTGCCTCAGAAAGGCAGGGAGGGAGCCAAGTCCCAACCAAGGGGCCAGGCAGCTCAGGGGGGAAGGCAGTCTTTTTGATGACCCCGGGGGGCATGGTCCCCGCTTCACAGGACATCAATGGCAGGGAGACCGGAGACCCCCACAGGAAGGACAAGGCTCCCCGGCTCTTGCGGAACATCAGGAGTCTTCCAAGCCTTGGCGTCCATAGGGAAGCCTCTGCGAAACAAGGCAGGGCAGGGGCAGAAGAACCCATCTGTCCACAGGAAACGAAGATGTTCAGGGTAGCCCTGGCTTCGTCACCTACGTCACGCAGCATTCACGAGCAAGGGCAGGGAGGACAGACAGGGACTGAGCCCAGACTGATGGTTCATAAACGGGACGGATGAGAAACCAAATACACGTGGAAAGAGGCTGCCAGTCTTTCCGCCTCAAGACGGCACACAGCTCTCTGGGAGCAAGCTCTTCTCTCGCCCCCAGAAGCAGCTGGTGGGCTTGACTCCCCGACCTTGGGGCTACCACCCTCACCAATACCCACTGCGCCACCAGGCATCCCTGGTCTAGCCAGTGGCTGGAAGGACCTAAGACCACGTACCGAACACACCTTTCAAGACCCGCCCCCCAGAGTGTAAGCTGATGCAGCAGCTCTGGAAATTGGGCCCCCGAAGGAAGGCACCCAGGGTTCGCAGGGGGCCACCCCAGTGGCGGTGGTGGGTGGACTGTGATTGGGAGTAGATGAGTGTGTTGCCCTAGGGTGAAGCGAGAGAAAGAGGTGGCAAGCCTGCCCTACAGGGTTGCTGTGAGTCAGAATTTACTCCAGGGCGGTGGATGGCCTTGTTACTGTGCCTATTTCTCCAAGCCGAGGGATGGCACTCACCGCCCCCCACCCCAGGTGAAAACCCAGTTCTAGAGGGCAGGGCCGAGGCATGGTGAGGCAAGCACAGCGTGGTTGAATGACTACCTCGGTGGGCGACTTTGTTTGCACAGTGACAGCCTGGTGTGAAAACGCGAACTGGGTAGGGGTAAAAAGGATTCCCCAGTGAGCTCCGCAGCTGGGTACTTCGCAGGGAAAAGTAGCGAAGCTGCTGTGCACGGGCACTTCCAGAGCGTGGAAGAGCAGGCTTTCTATCGGTTCGTCCAAGCCGGCACCCACGACCGTACCTCCTGACCACCCACTGCCGGAGCTCACAGGGAGGCGCCCCAGACGCTAACAGGAGCCCTAGCCTGAGCCCACCGAGCCCGGAAGCCCCGGGAAGATGCGCTGGCAGCGGGCTGGGAAAGGGGAGGTTCGGGTGGGTGCGGTCCAAGGCGGGAAGGTCCCGGTGGGTGACGCGAGGGTCTGGGAGTTCGGGGTGGGTGATGTTGGGAGAGGGAGGGTGGTTCGGTGCAGGCCGGGGGGATGGTCAGAGTGGGAGAGGTAAGAGGAGGTAAGTGGGAGGGTTTGCCGTGAGTGACGCTGGCCAGGGCAAGGTGGTGGTGGCACTGGGGTGGGCATGGGTGAGGTCAGAGGGCCTGAGGCTGGGGGAGGGGAAGGGGGACACGGGGTGAATGAAGGAGGGCGTTCGGGGTTCAGGGTGAGCGAGGTCGGAGAGGAGGAGATGGAGTAAGTGACGTTGGTGGAGGGGTCCGGCGTGGGTGGCGTGTGAGGCTGGAGGGGAAGGGGGTCCGGGGCGGGGGTCAGTGGTGGTTGGGGGGGGTGGAAAGCCAGCGTCAGGAGGGGCGAGGCGGCCGAGGGGGCACTGCGGAGCCGCGGGCTGGCGGAGCGAGGGCGCGGGGGTCTCGGGCTGCGCGGGGCGGGCCGGCCGGGTCCCCTCGCGGCCCCTCCGCCCGCCTCACCTCGTCCACCGTGCGGCGCGGGAGGTGCAGCGTCCCCAGCAGCAGCTTGAGCTTCACGGCCGACGAGAGGCCGTGGAAGCAGAGGCGGATGTTGTCGATGACCGCGGCCGTGAGCAGGGATGCGATGCTGGGCGGCGCCCACAGCTCGTCGGTCGCCCCGAGCTTGTTGTGGAGCCACAGGCCGGTGTCGCTCTCCCGCATCGACGCCATCTTGGCGGGAGGAAAGCCCCGGGCCTCTGAACCGGCATCTTAGGAGGACACCTACAGGCCCCTGCGAGGACCCCGCAACATGGCGGCGCCCGGGCGGGCCGCAGGACCTGGGGTGGGGCCAGCGGGTCCTCCTCCGGCCGCTCGTCCCTCACGGGGCGTGGCCCCCGCAAGGACGCCCCTGAGTGGCGAGCACGCCTTCGGGAAGCTTCGTGGCGATGCCTGAGAGCCCGAGAGGCGGGCGCTTTGGAAGGAAGCCTGTGGTCTTCCGTAACCCATCATGGCGGCGCCCAGAGCCAGCTTTCGGGGCGGCCGTAGACGATGACGCCAGAAGGGGGCGTCGCTTGTTTGTGGTGCGCGGAGGCGGCGGGGCTACGTCCCGTCGGGGGCGGGGCTACGTCCCGTCGGAGGCGTGTCGCCGCCGGGAATCCCGCGTCCCTGGGCGGGGCTGACCGCGGGCCCGGCCCACGCGTGCAGACCCCACATTCCTGCCCCTAGATGGCGATCTCGCGGGCGTTCGTTCTCGAATGCGCCTCCCACGCCCCGCGGTTGCGCACTGTGGCGAGGTGCAGCGGCTAGAGCAGCGGTTCTCAACCTGTGGGTCCCGACCCCTTTGGGGGTTGAACGACCCTTTCACAGGGGTCGCCTGAGACCGTGGGAAAACACGTCTTTCCGATGGTCCTAGGTCGGTGACCAGACGTCCCGCTTTTGGCAGGACAGTCCCGATTTTTAACAATTTTTCCCGCGTCCCGCGGCGTTTTAAAAAAGTCCAGATTTTTGGAAAGAATGCACGACAAGCTAGGGTATACGGTTTTCGGCTGCCATGTGGCTATTTCGCCAGGATATGAGTTTTGTCAATGGTGTTCCGCTTTACCAATGTTACAATCCCTCCTCTATCCGTCTCCAGGCGGTCCGCCCACACGCCGATACACTGATCTGGTGAGAAAGAAGCTATCAACGTTTGCACCGATGTTGGCTTTTTACGCATCCTGCCGCAAAATGTGGCAATGTAGTTTACTGTT